TGGAGCTGTAGGGAAGTGGAAAAGTATCATCACCGATGACCTTATGGGAACGTACCGTCTGTCGTTGAGCAACATGACACGGGGCGTGGTGCATGACGACTGGTACCTGCTGGACCACTCCAAGACAAACGCGGAGTTGCACTTGCGTACCTTGGCGTGCGACTTTGGCAGCAACCCAAAACCGAGTGACGCGTGGAAGGTCACCGAGGACATTGCTGATGACCCGGCGCTGGGAGCCGGCAAGAAGCCGCCGTTTGTGGCCGCCCCTGTGACAATTTCCAGCAACGTGAACAACACACCGTTGAATCCAAACATTGGCCCTGCTGTCGTTCCTGCCGTGGTTTTAGCGCAGTCGCAGCCACCCCCACCGGCGCCTGGCTATCCCCAACAGCAGCCCATGTATTACCCCCTCGCCCCGCCCGCTTCACCCGCTCAGCCAATGTACTATCCACCACCGCCACAGTCCTACCCACCGCAGGCGTACCCACCACAATACCCGCCTCAACAGTACCCGCAGCCTACAGTAGCGTACGCCGGTGCGATGCCATCCAAACCGAGTTATCCGATGGACCCAAGGGATCCCAACTTTCGTTACTGAAGCGGGGACAATACAAATATAAAATAGAACCATCAAAAGAAACATTATGCCTATGTAGAAATGCCCAATTTATATGTGATCCATGATTGCCTATTCATGGTGTCGTTGCTCTCATAGCTGCACGGTCTGACTTACCTTTTGTTCAGCTAACAATAAGGCTGAAAATAGCGGGTGTACTTTTTCTGGAAAATCAGTGCTACTTTTTTTATCTATTTCTTTACCCTCTACCTCCACACACCCTCCAGTATTGAGTGAAATATATGCGTTTGGGACTGTACGCCATGCACTTGAAGATATGAAACGTCTGTGAACATGCTCAAGCGTTTTTTTTTATATATATAACTGTAGGTGTGTGAGGAGGTGTATGTTGTAAAGAAGATCTGAACGTTTCGTTTTGAACTTGCTTTTGATTTTGTCTGGCCTGCCGTTGCCAAAGCAGTCATACATTGAACTTCTCCGTGGTGTAGCCGTTTCGGCGGCAACCGAGACACTGGAAGGGAGAGAAGGAGAGAGATATATATATAGCGACGGAGCGAAGGGGCACGAAGACAGCAGGGGGCGAGGATTGTCATGCATGCAGTCTGCTTCTGACTGTTGTCTTCTACCTTTTTTTTTTGTTTTTGTTTTACAAGGGCAGTTCTGTGGAACGCCCTCTGAGCGGTGCTCCCTGACGACACCTTCAAAGGGGAAGGGGAACGAATATATCTACCTACCTATCTATCTATCACGGAAAGAGCAAATGGAAAAAGGGGAAAAACTACACCAACACAAAGTCAAAGAAACGACAATGAGTGACTCGGAATCCATCGTGTTTTGTGAGCACACCGAGAATGACTCGCTCCACGGGGGAGGCCCGCGCGGCCCCCAGAGCAACTCCCACCAAAAACGGGAAATACCGCTGATGTTGGACAAACCCCCGCTTCCTCGCACCAAGAGACGGGAAATCGTTAAACAAGCTTCGCCTCCTTTAAAGGCAGCTCACCCGAAGTCGTCATCCGCCGCCGCCGAGGGGAGCCACGACGACTGGGCCTCTGAGCACAGCGAGAGCATTTGCTTTCACATTGATGGCGCCGAAACTAACGCCTCGACAGCGACTGGGGGGGTCGCGACAGCGGTCAACACGCCCCAGTTCCCTCCCACGCACGATGCCGGCGGATACGAGGCACACCGGACGGACAGAGGCCGCTCCGGTAGTCAAAGGACAGATTGCGATGATGAGTCGATTCATTTTTATATGGAGGGCTCCATCCGCTCACGGCCAGGAGTCATGCCGCACACCGAGATTGTGCCCAACGATAGCATCATCTTCCAAGTGGTGGATGATTCAAAAACGGATGACACCGCTCCCGGGGAAACAAGCACCCCGCCGCTAGACAAGGACACGGCAAGCCCCGTCGTTCCCACGTTGCACGCGACGAAAGAGGCAGAAGGGGATGTATTGGCGAAAAAGATTCGGTCATCCCGTGCCGTGCAGGCACGGCGAGGCGAGGATGCGCCAATTAAGGAGAATACCGCAAAGGGAACGGCGCACGCAAACCAGCCTCAGCGCGCTCACCCAGCGTCTACGCGCGGCAAACGTATCCCATCTTTGCCGCTGGCGGAGAACACAACCAATAACAAGTCGACAGGGAGCATTCCTTCATCCCCATCGTCGGTTGCAGCACATGAGGAAGCTCTGAATCACGGCTCTGCTTTGCCCACAATACTTACCTCTGAGATCAGTGGGGCACACCTGGGGGCAACGCGCACGCGCCAAGGCGCTGCCCCTGTGCATTCCAAAGAGGACTCGCGTGTAGCAAAGTCTGCGGCGACAGGCGTGGGAAAGGCTTCACTTCCAAAACGACGCTCGCGAAGTTCCAACTTGGTGGAGCAAGTGAAAGTGAAACAGGCACCCACAGCCGTGGATAAAACATCGTCGGACCGTTCGCCTCCTCTCGTCTTCACGGAGGTGCCGGTGTCATGCCCCAGAACGCAATTGGATGCCACGCGGGTCTCTACTCTGTACTTGCTGGAGGAGCGGATTCTGCAGGCCAAGCTGTACACAGAGCACTGGCGTCTCTTCAACGATGTTCAGAGAGAGGAGATTGCGCGTTTGATAAAACTCATTGCGAAGGCACGCCAACCGGAGAATCTTCTTTGCCCTCTCGACACGGGCGCGAAGGAGAAACAACCGACGACTGTCGCGCTGGGTGGGTTTGCAGACCTTTTAAGGCAGAGGCGCACCGCCATGCGGAACCCTGCGGATGCGGCTACAAGGAGCACTTCCCACGTCCCACAGCCCAGAAGAAGTTTACTGCCAGGATCCTCAAAACGGGCACTTTCGGTGCCCCCGAACGGTACCGTTCCGCGTGGTCCAGGGTTGTCTAGGCGAAGGTGCGATCGCGGCGTTTCCGACGCCAGGCTGCTCAAGGCTGCCAAGGCAAGACGATCCGCACCAGCGTTGCAGGAACCCCAACCTGCTCCGGTGCAGGCGACACGCGGCGGGTGGTTTCCTCAGCTTCACAATGCAGCTGCACGTGATGGCGCTTCGAAGCTCGCCCAGACTCTGGGCATCATTTGGCCCCCGTGCTCACCGGATGCTCTTTTTTTCATGACAGGGACCCGCCTGACTCCGCAGCAACGGGATGAGTTTTACGAGGCAGTGAAGCTTCAGTGCGCGGCATCGGAGGGTCTCTACGCGGAGTTGCAGCGCTCTGTGACAGCGCAGCCGCGGGAACTGAGGGCTTCCCACCGGAAAAAGTTGATGCTATCACGCACCTCCATTTTGCGGAAGGCCTTCACATTGATGGATGTCGACAAAAGCGGCCTCATTCGCACCACGGACATTCCAGCGATGCAGTGTTTGCTTGAAGCGGAGAGGAAACAACTAGAGGCTAAGGCAGATGGTGGGGCCAAAACCGCCACCGTTTTTGCGCGTGCGAAAGCTGAGCAACGTCAACTCAAAGGAATGATTGATGCCAAGCGCGCTGCGAAGAACAGTAACGGCGCGAGTCTCTCTGCTGCCACAGAGGTGGCACTGTACGGTCTTGTTATAGATGTTATCTTTCCACTTATTAGGGCCTCTAATTTGGTTGTGTGTGACTTTGCATCTCTTGGTCTTTTGGTGTTTGGGTCCTTGTATCTTTCTGAGAAGGGCGCGAGTGCGAGTTTTGTGGAATGGCGTGAGGCAGCACGACGTTGCTTTGAAGCTCTTGCATAGACCGTTTTGTGTGTGAAGAGTATCCGCCGACTAGGCTTTGAGCTGCCGTTGTGCGGGCGCCCCTGAACGGAATTCGCTCTCCCTCTCTGTGTATATATATGCTTTTGCATATGTGTGTTGCTACTGCATGCTGTAATGTCGTTTGTACGCTGCGCTCCCACTCTTCACGTGTGTTTTGCTTTTTGGGCGGTATTGCGTGGGCTTAGCATGGCGGTTGCGTCTGTTGTGCTGCCATGTGCGTTTCCTTTTCGTTTGGCCCTTTTGTCCCTCTCTTGTGAATGTTTTTTTTTGTCTTTCATCTCGCCATCGTTTGCGTGGTTGCGTGTATGTGCCGCTCGACATGCCCGCAAGCGTGAGAGCAGTGACTCAGCATAGACCAATAGGAGCCTGCGTAGGGCCCCAGGGCAGGTACATACGTATCTATACACAAAAACTGGAAATAAATAGCAATACAACCGGACGACAAGTGCGTGTGCGTGAAACGGCGCGCCGATGCAAACACCTCGTTCCTCTGTGGCAAGCCTGCTGGACGATGCCGGATCGCCGTTTCAAGGGTATCCCCCACGCACGGCTGCCAGGCACATCTACCAGCCGAGTTCCCTCGCACTGACACCAGTGAACTCCAAAACAGTGATACTGCGCTGCTCCACGTCGCCTCAGTTATCGCGGAGTAGAAGTTACGGGGCAGAGGAGCTTCACAAGACAAAGCCACGGTTGCTGACTCCGACGTTTCTAAAAGTGGATTGCGATGACGTCGATGTCTCTGCAAGGTTAGACCTTGAGTTTCTTACTGCTGCCCAGTCCACCCAGCCGAACAGCAAGACGTGTCATTCCCTGCCCAGCAATATAGATCATTCAACAATGTTTGCAGGAGCGGACAAATTATTATTCTGCAACGATGGCGGATGTTGTTTCTCCAACACCAGGGAGTTGACGCAAGCCTTCGAGGAAACGGCGAAGACGCCGTGCAACGGAGCCCCAGCGGCTGAGGAGGATCGCCAGGGCCTGGACGACGCCGAGGACAGGCAGAGTACCTCGTCACATTCTTCGGTGCATACGCCCGTTGAGAATATCATTCACTGCCTTACGCCATTCTGGACGGCGGGTCTTGTGACGCCACAAAAATCGGCCCGACCACCCTCCACTCGACTCTGGACGCCGTCGACGCACCGACGTGCCCCATCGCTGACCAGCATCGGTGTGGAATTGGGGGAAACTCGTGGTATGCTGCCGCACAAGACCCATGCAGATGTTCTGCTACCCAATAGAAACCCGTGCTCACCTTATCGGGAATACGCTGGTGAAAGGCAGGCCTTGCTTCAGCTGCATACGGGGGAGGAGTGGGATGACAGTGTGGCTTCCACAACGGACGCGATTTTGCGGCGTGTGGACGCATGTGTCGTCGCACTTGAGCAAACGGCTCCCATCGCCGGCACGGGGCGAGAAGAAGCTTTCCGGCCTTTGAGTTGCCTCCCCGCAAGAAGGGATGGCAAAGCTGCGAGTGCTTTAGGTGGCATCTGCAAGGGGGAGGAAGAGTTCTTGGACCTTTCTTCCATTCCAGTCGAGCCGGAAGTTGCGCCGCGGGGCAACGCCAGGCCTGCAGCCGCGGTGGACGCCTTCAGTGCACAACATCCCCTGGCAGATGATTGTAGAGCCTCCGATGACTGTGCTGACGTGCAGGTCGCGTTTAGTAAGGCGTGTCGCAGCTCGCCGGATAACCCCCGGGACGGGGTGTGGGATGCACCTACACGCTACTCCACGGAGAGCCAGAGCTCGTTTGAGCATATACCCAAAAAGCTTTTGGAGACCCGCAACTTTTATGAACTGTGCGGCCAGGAATGGGGGTGCTGCTCTCCCTTGCCAGGCCTCAAGGGGTTAGCGAGCGGCACGGCACGGTGTGCCCCATCTGCTGGCGTGCATGCATTACGGACCACAGCCAAAGAAGTTGGGTTCAATACGTGTTATTCACCTTTTTATTCATCCTTGTCGATTCGCGTAGACTCCCAATGCCTCAACTCCACGGGAACGTTGGGGCAAGCGCCGCATAAACTGCACTTCTGTAGCGAGTCCCCCTTGCGACTCTCAAGCAACGGTGACTATCCTGTTGTGGGACGCCCGTTGAGTGATGATGGGGAAGAGGAAGAAGTAGAACCGGGGGATCGTTTTCGCAGTCATCATCGGTATCAATTTCTGCATTGGCTGGCGTGGCGAAAGGCGTACGACTTTGTTCCCATCCATTTGGAATGCAACGGCGTTGCTTGGCTCGTGACGCATCGCGTGGATGGCCTTCCGTATGTCGTCAAGGAGATCCCATGCAGCCAGAGGAACTCCCTGCAGAGGGAACTGGAGTGCCTCACTCTTGGAAACGCACCGGTGAGCGCGCTGCGGCAGCAGGCGGCTGATCACATTACGCGGTATTTTACGGTGACACCGTACGGCGTTGTAGCCCCCGACGCACAAGAGAGAATGGCATTCCTGCTGCAGACAGAGTACTTTCCCATGGGAAATGTGATGGAGTGGGCGCTCGACCCACACCAGATTCGAGGCGCGGAGTTCCGCGTTCCGCCGGAAGACTTTTGGTCGTGCGTGCTCCAACACGGTCTTCTGGCGATGGAGAGCCTTCACGCAGCTCGCATTATTCACGGAAACCCACTGCCATTCAACCTGTTTATCTGCAACCCGAGACATTACAAACTCGGCTGCTTTGGTGCTGCCGTAAAGTCCCCGATAACATATCCTGTAGGATCCGCAAATGTGTTTTTGCCGCCACACACGGAATGCGCTGCCCAGTGGACACCATACGAGATGGATGTCTTTCTCTTTGCGCAAGGCATCCTGCAGCTCATGCATCAGTGCATATGCCAGCGAAGAGTGGGTGCGAAAACGCGGCAGCTGCACGAAGGTGACGGCGAGAGGGTCTTTCGTACGTTATTCCTTACGGACGTTACGGGTCTCTCCCTCGCTGAATTTCAGACCGATCGTGAGCGGGGACACCATGCCGTTTCCGACCATCTCTGGAGTGTGCTGCAGGCCGCTCTTCACAGGGTCCCGATACAGACGTTGCTGCACATGTTGGATGCCCCCTCACGGCCCCAGTGGGCACTCAGATTGCTTTTTTCCACTGAGGAATTTTATCTGCTGCGGCGTAAAGGTCAGCTGGAGCGGGCACTTGGGGGGCGTTCGCGGGGGAAACCACAGACGGAGCAGCAATGTGAATCTCCACTTCCGCGGCCCGCAAGCAGCCTCGACGACCTGGTGGCGCCACATGAATGGCCTGGTCGAGGACACGTCGTACCGCCTTTCCCAGAGGCTCAGTTCGAATGTCATACGTCCCAGTCCTCGTTGCCACAGGCTCCGAGGACCTCCGCCTCGCAAGGGCCACTGTTGTCTCAGGGACACGGCGTGGAGGCGTCTCCCACGCTGGGGCAAATGCAATTGAAACGCCATGGAGCCGACTGCTACCATCACCATGGTCAGGGACGAATCCATCAACCGAAGCGCCAACACGGGGAGACCCAGTTAAGTTCTTGTGACACGTCTGCAGAATTATTTCTTCTCCCGCGCTCGTGTGCGTCGAGGAGGCTGAGCTTCATCCAAGACAACCACTTCCTTTTCAAGAATTCACTGGAGGTAGGCGTTACTGACGCCTCTCCTACCTCTACCGGCAATGGGCACCCACATCAGCTGAGCAGCCGTATTGAAGACAACATCCTCGCTTCCATGCAAAGCCGGCTGGACGCACATCTCTTTTGGACAGTCCGTCAAATTATGGTTGTTATGAATTGGGAGGACGCGTTGAAAGGGATGACTGTATGTGGTCACGGGAGCACGCTCGCGCGGGACTCCTTTCCACCCTCACGCGGTGCTGTGAGACCCCTCACATCATGGGAATAACGAAGCCTAGTCCGTGTTAAGTGGCAATGGGAGTGTAACGCAAAGTGTGGGCACGCCCACTTGAAAAAGGAAAGAAAATGTATGTGAAATTACTATTTGTTGTTACATGTGTGTGCGTCCGGGCACTTCTCTACCATTCTTGTTTTTTTTTGTTTTTGCTCTTACCGGGGGTAGTGCGAGGGAATTTTGCCGTCGGTGCATGTATCGATGCCGCTCCGCACACAAACTGTTGGAACTGGATGCGGTGTTCCACATCTTTGCGCCGCCCTGCTGTACCGTCGTGGATCTCGCAGCGGCGCCTGGGGGGTTTGCAGAGGTGGCGCTGGAGAGAATGGCCTGCGCAGCCGCTACCTCCGCGGCGGGCCTCCAGCCCGTTGTGGTTGCCTTTGACAACCGCCCTATTGAGCCCATGCAGGGCTTGCTGCCCGTTGTATGTGATATCAACGACCACATACGCGTCATGGCGCACACATCCAGCCTCTTACGGAGGCTGCAGGGCGCGGGAGGCGGTCCAGGAAGAGACGTGCATGTCGTTCTCCATGACGGAGTCTCAGTCGTGAAGGCACAGTCATCGTTTTCCGTGACGTATGGCCAAAATCAAATGGCTCTCGGGGCGCTGCGGCTAGCCTGTTCCTTCTTTGCCTTGCCTGCGCACACCACATCGGCACGACGGACAAAGACATTTGTGACAAAGGCAATGCACTCCACGCACTTCAACGCATTACTGGAGGCCTGCAAACGCTACTTCCATTGCGTGCATGTGCATAAACCTTCCGACTGTAGACCTGAGGGTCCGGAGACGTACATTGTGGCACGCGACTTCTCCGCACGGCGGTGGCTAGCGGAGGAAAGGCGGGCAAAGGGCTTGCACCCACCCTTGACTTTGCCGCCTTACCGGGAAGACGTGACTTCTGGGCGCCAGATAATGTGGCGGTGTTGGGGCTGTTGTGAGCTTTGCTTAGGAACGTCGTCGTGCCCATTGTGTGTGGCTGCTGAACGTTAAACCGCCCACTTCTCATGCAAAGGGGTCTGCTCTCGTTACTTCACATCCATTTTGCGGTGTTTTTTTTGGTTGGATTGACCCAAAGAAGTGTTCTTCAACTTTTTTGTGTAAACACGGTGAATGATATTTGCGTGCATTCACCTATTCTGTTGCCTGCGGTGATATATATATATATATATATATGTTCTGTTGCTTTGATGCCACTCTTTGTTTCTCTGCTGGTTCTCTCTTCGTTGCGTGGCGGGTATTTTTGTAGGGGTGGAGAGGACCAACACTAACTGGTAAAAAAGAAAAAAGATAACGGCACACAAACGCACATACACACACACACACGCATTCATTGATATTTTTTTTTTTAGGGGAGTAGGGACGAGAGGAAATGTGGCGATTCGTGTTGGTCACACGCAGATTTTCTGCAGCGCCGTCGGTGCTACACCGCTGTTGTACGGTGGCGCCTTCTCCGGCATCACGCCAGGCGTCAGCTTCAGAGACCACCACCGCGAGTGCACCGCAGCCGCAGGAAACCGTTTTGCAGTCCCCCTCGATGCCGCTTTTTCAGCTCCTGGCGTTTGTGGTGGAGGAACTGCTGAAAAATCCCCCTTCAGCGGCCGTGCGAGACAACATGAAGACAACGAAACCTGCGGGCCTCACTGCAGCAGCAGCAGCCAAGGATGTGGGTGGGGTGGCGGTAGAATCGCCGTCGCTGCCCGGGTTGTCCTCTGTGCAGCTCATTCGTGTCATAAGCACGTACCTCCGACGTGAAGAGGAAATGGCGTTACTTAGTCGCTCTAAAGTGGCTGCTGTGCGGCAGCAGTACCTGAAGATGCGAGCGAAGCAACCCCGTCTTTCTCCCCTTCAGCGAGACATTCTGCTGCACGAGGTGGCACGGATCGTGGAGCGGAGGGAGGTTCCACTCGCCGTGGCTGCACGTCTTCTACGGCCACGCTGGCCAAATTATTTTATGGACGTTGTGGGTGTGCGCCATCACGCGTTTCTTGTGCAAAGCTTGCGGGCGTGGGCTGTAGCAGTGATGCAGGATAACACGTTAACCCCAGCGGAGGCCAGAATATTCCTAATGCGCTGCCCCCGTCTGTTTGTGGGCCAGGTCTCGCTCATGGGATCTGTCGTGGAGTGTGCCCTACTGGACCTCAAAACCCTCGACGACCCAGAGCTCCTGATACAACTTATGTGGTCTGTGAACAGTGCCAAGACACACGCCCCGCACCATTTCTGGCGGCGCGTTGTCGACAAGCTCTCGACGCTAAATCGCTCGCTGCGGGACAAGGTCGGTGATGCCATTTGCATGGAAAAGGACAAAGGCAAGAAGGAGGATGGGAAGAAAGCCACCGCCGCTCATTCCGTGGTGGTGGGCCACGTCTTCTCTGGGCTTACCACCAGACAACTGTTTCGCGTGCTTCGTGTGCTGCGGCGGGAGCAGTGGTGTGGCGATGTTCCTCTCATCTTTGACTTTGTAGACAAGGCACTTAAAAACATCGTCTTTGAGGTGGAGGCTACCCACGTTGCTGAGGATAAACCACGTGGGGCGCCGCTTTCACGCCGAGCTGTGGCGCAGCGCTTGAAGCAGGCCGCGGACTTGTCGCCAGCGGAGTTGCTTTCCCTGCTGAGCATCGCTGGGGAGCTGGGGGTGGACTTACATGTGTCGCTGGCACGGCTCTCGGAGGATTTGCTCTCCCCCATGGTGCGGTACCTGGACCGGGATCAGCTGCTGCTCCTCACCACCTGCGTCCGACAGACCCGCTGCGACTCACCACACCTCGTGCAGACAATTGTGGACACAATTGTGCGGCGCGGGGCCACGTACCCCTGCTCGCTCGCCTTAACCAAGGCCGCCTTGCGAACAATCCTGCAGAAACCTGCATTGCTTGCACGCCTGACTCTTGTCCCTTTTGTGGATCACATCTTTCATCTCTGTGACACGCTCAAGTGGCACATGCGCGCGTCGCAGATTCTGGCATGGGTGGAGTTGCTCTACGCTTTTTCGCGACTGTACGCGCCCTCCTCCTCCGTTGGCGTGCGGGTGCGGACGATGGTAGACTCGTTTGCAGATCCGCTAAACGCCATGTTGGAACTTGGGGTGGTGCCCATCTCCATCGTCTCCCGCGTGCTGGAGCACACGGTCATTCTCGGCATGCGGAAGCAGCCGCAGTACCCCCGCACCGCCAAGCTCTGGGAGAACCGTAACACACTCGTGAATGGGCGTAACGCGCATGCGGAGTTGCAAGGCGGCGGCGACACGGATGCCACGGCGTTGCCGGATCACGACACGGCGGGGGATGCAACATCGAGCGTGAGCGACAGTGAGGTGTTTTCCAGCAGCGTGGTAACGAAGTCTGCGAGGAAGGTGTACGACGACCTCATCTCCGTGTATGAACGACAGACAGTTATGCGCATGCCCCTCTCAAAAAAGGAGGAGGAGCGGATCCGCGACAGCTTTCAGCGACTCGGCCTCTACAGTATTTTTATGGGGGCCAACGTCATGCAAAAGCTGCACCTGAGAGGCCCTGCAGCTGCAGCAAGCGCGTTGGCGTCGCTTCACAAAACACCACCTGCACGTCCATTCTCCACGTGGATGGAGCAGCAGGTTGCTTCTGTCATTGACACACGCATTCGGAGTGCGAAGATTACGCCGGAGTCTACAGACAATGATGTGCTTCGTGTTCTGGGCCGCCGTCAGTGTGACGCCGGGAATGTACGTTGCTTTCAGGAACTCGTGGTGAACGCCCCACTTCAGTTGGCGCGCCAACAGCGCAGTCTGTGGGAATACACCGCTGAGCTGGCGCGCAGGTTTGGTGGGGCGCAGGAGCAGTCCTTTTCGCAGGAAATGCTCCGCAAGGCCCTCACGTAGCGGAGTAATTTAATAGGTGGGAATATATCACATATTACTTCTAATGCGTCTTTGATTACATGAATTGTTCCATCCCGTTTTTTTAAATTTTTGCTTTTTCTGCAGACACTGCCGTGGCGATGCCCTTCACGACAGTGAAAGACATTTCTTTTGTGTGTGCGAGTGTGTGGAGCTTTTTTTTTTTCCTGCCTTCCTGTGGCTCTGCTTCGTCGTTTTCCCTGCAGTTTAGTTTTTGGATCCCCCCGGCCACTCCGTGAGAGGACGCACGCGAGGAGGCGAGAGGAGCGAAGGCAATCGTGCAAGGAGAAGGAGCGGCGCTGCCACCAATGTACCGTTGCTGTTGCCGGGGGGCGCTGCGGGGCCCAATCAGCGCCAGCCACGTTGTGTGCGGACTGGCACGCTGCACCACGCAGGACGCCCCACCCGCAGTTTCCGGCACGACCACTGTCCGTAGGCCCAAGCGCGCCGTTTGTCGTGTCGCATCGGCCGATGAAGACGTGGCGGACCTCGAGGCGGCCAAATTCCGCGCCGGGCATCAGCTCTCGGAACCGCCATGGCGGTCTCGCGGTTTGGCAACGTTGCCGACATCGGCGGAGGCACACACACAGACGCTTTCGCAGACGCCGTGAATGGTGGCGGCGAGGAGGAGGATGATGACGACATTGACGAGATGGCGCACCCACCCCCTACACGCCGCAGCACCACCGAAGGGTGGACGAGGGTGTTCGCGGCAGACGCGGAGGAAACACTCCAGGAGACGCAGGCAGCAGCATATGCACCTCCCATCGATGCCCTGTTGCAGACAGAGGGTGATGCCATGGGCCCGGCTGTGGCGCATCCCATCGTTGAAAGACAAGCCGTTGTTCGGTCATTGGACCCTGCTGAGCTGGTGGAGATGGTCGTGCTGTATCTCCGTGCGACGGAAAATCCCCGTCTTGTCTCTGCCGATGAGGAGCACGTCTTGTTTCCGGTAGTCATGGAACGGCTGAATGAACTTCACCTTTTGCAGATGCTCGACATCGTGGAGTGCCACTGGGCCCGCTCGACGCTCGTTCGGTACGGCATTGTATTTAAGGATATGGTGCGTGACCGCATCGCCCAGCTCGCATCTGTTGCCGGCAAAGAAGCCGCACAGCCCCCGAAGCGGGCATTGCGCGCAGAAAATGACCCCAATGCCATGGATGACCTTGACAACGCCGGGGATGACGACGACGATGCTGGTGAGGTCTACGCGCATGAGGCCAAAACACCCACGCTGGACCCCATCCTGCTTCAGGCGCGTGACGAACTAAACCCGGCCGGTGTGCTTCGCTGCATTATTGTCATGGGCATGAGTGCGGGCCGGCGAAAGAGAGACCTGCAGTTCTTTCAGGCATTGGGGGTGTTTCTCGTGCACCACGTCAACCACTACAAGGATCCACATGAATTGGTGCGTGTACTGACGGCGTTTGCACGCGCCAAGATTGTCCCACCGAATGGATTCCTTGCGCTGCTTGGGCGCCGCTTCGCCGTGCTTAATAAGCGAAAGCCGTTGGGCGCCCTTCCCAGCTATCGCGCCTTTGTAAACCTGTACAAGATGGGGCACGACCAGATGAATAACTTTAGGTTTTTGGCAAACTGCATTTACGACACTATCGACGCCAACGTCAAGTCCGAGAAGAAGCGCCAGAGGTTGCTGGAGTTGCAGCGCATGCATGGAGCGACCGACACTGACGCTGACGCCAAGGAAATGCTCAACGCTGCAGTGCAGGCTGAAAATACAGAGGGCGGTGGTGACGGCTCCGCGACGGTGGGTGGTGGTGATCTAGACCCGCAGCTGTTGCAGGTGATAAAGGCAAGGGAACGATTCAAGCGTTTGACGGAGCTGAAGCCATCGATGTTTACCAAGCTCCTTCTCGTGCTTGCTCGCTTTGGGGCGCCGCACCAGCAGTACCTACGTCCCACGATAGTGCCACTGATCCTTCCCACGCTGCAGTGCTTCCCCCCACCCAGCTTCTCTCGACTCCTGCGGGCATTGTACCTCTTTAGGACCACTGACCTGGAGCTTATTGAACCCATTATTGACCACATTGCTGACACTCTTGGGGCCACGGCTGTCCTTCCAGAGGATGTGTTGGAAGTGGTTCGCATCGTTTCCCCCGCGGAGGTGCCGTTACCGCGCAACCTCTCAAAACTTCTTATGCTGTGCGAGGCGGTGTACACAGGTGTGGATGTGGCTACGCCGCGGCTCATTCTTCCGAACGATATGTGTGCGGTGGCCGTTGCTCTGCTGAAAATACAGATGAAGGAGGAGGTTCCGCTGGACGCCCTGGACCCGCTGACGCGTCTGATGGAGGTCTTTGCGGGTCGCTTCAGTTTCCTCATGCAGCTGCATGTCGTCTCCCTCACGCACGTTGACATCTTTGCAGATCTCTGCCGACAGCTGCACCACCCTGACGCCTCTGGACGAATTGCCAAGCTCATTGAGGAGCGGCGAAGCCTGAGCGCCGCGGAGGGGGATGACGAGTACTACAGTCGCCTGGACATTGACGTGCGTGAGACGTTTCACAAGATTATGGTTGTGAACGATTTCAAGACGTACGGGCAGTACCGACCGACCCCTGGAGTGCTTCAGGTGGACTTCAAGCAGGCCCTAACGGAGGTGAGCGCGTTTGATGTGCTGGAGGCCACACACCTTTTCGTTCAGGCCTTCCCCAACACACTGCAGCCGACCGTCGTGCGGCACCTCAGTCGCAGTGTTCTTGCGAAGCTTGGCGGCGGCGGTGAGGAGGTCATCACCGCAGACAACAAAATGGTGCTGCGCCCACCGCGGGACCTGCTGCTCACGAAGGAGGACCTTGTCAAATTTGTGGAGTTGGTGCAGGCAACCCCGCTAAGACGTGTGCGGGAGTCATCGGTGGTGTGGCGCTTTATTGCCGAAAAGGCACGCCGCTTGCAGATGAGCGAGGTGCTCAGGACCGTTGAGCTGCAGGCTGCCGCCGCCACGGCGTAGGCGGTGATGTCGCGCCTGGCAAAATAGTGCTCCACCCTCCACACACCTCAACGCAGAGTGCAAGCATACATTTCAATTTTGAGAAACGAAACGAAATCTTTAACGGCAATGCCCAAGCACAGACAGACTCCAAAGGGACGACGTGGGAAGTGTTATTACGTGCCATGTGCCGTTTTCGCATTGCATTGCAGTTGTCTGTGGGAAGCTTCGTGGAAGGATGGTACCGGCGACTGCACATCAACACAAGTGACTTATAGCGCAAGGAGGGAAGAGAGTGGAGAGAAACAAAACATACAGCGGTGACGGCGTGCGTATGCGAGATAGTGATTACATGGATGCCATTCTGTTGGGCTGTTCGTTGTTGTGGTTGGAATGTTTGGCAAACGAACCAAACCTTGCACCTCGGTCGTACAACACGCTTTTTTTTTTTTAGTTGATGTATTTGTGTATTATTATTTTTTGTTTTGTTTTCCCTTCCTTTTTTCTTCCCCCACACTTTCCACTTCGTGCCATTGCGGCCAGCATAGGAGAAAGAGATTCCGCTGCGACTGGGACGACGGGAATTGTTATGGCGCCCACAGTGGACGCAGCCGCTCTACCACCCGCGGCGCACTTCGAGCTACACACCACCAAACTCAGCCAGGATGACGCGTGCCTGCAGTGGCTCAGGAGCCGCTATTCCCGTGGAGATGGCGCAGCGCAGCCGAGCCACGCCGTGGCAGATGCGGACGTACTTTTTGCAAGGGTGGGGAATGACTTGTCCGCCTGCGCCACGCACCGGTGGGCGCACTTTTCGCGACGTTCGCCAGTCTACGAGGCGACTCCGCCGCGGACGGACAACCTCCAATCCAACACAACGGCAGTGCGCTGGGAGGAGGGCAAATCAGCAGATGGGCACGGTGACGTCACTGTGAGCGTCCAAGATTCTCACCCGAGGTCTGCCTCAGGGACGCAGAAGGAGCAGATGCGGTTGGAGCCCTCACGTTATATCTTCACAGAGGTGGTGCGCAAGAGAGAACAAACGCGCCTTTCAAAGGCAATTGCGGCAGCGGGTAGACCGCGTGACTTGACGAGTGCGCCCCGCCCTTTTTTTGGGGGATACTTTCTCCCCCCGCACTCTGTTGGCCCGACATCGTTTCTAGTGTTTCCTCAGTGGATGCACGATGTCAGTGTGGATGCCACGCAGCCGCAGGAGCTGCCGTACGTTGTTCGAGGCACGGTTGGCCGAAGGCCCAGACGTGTGGGCAACGACAACGCGGGCAGGGTTGAAGGGGGGCGAGGGTCGCTGCACGAACTGCTGAGAAGCATTATTTTCAATGTCTCCTTTTCCCGCAAGTTTGCCGCCACCACACTGCGGTTCCCCCTGTTTAGCGGTGTAGATGCCGTGCGGGTGGAGGTATACGCCAATAATGAGACCACGGAGCGTTTGTTCAGTCCTCCCGCCAACACAGACGCCGGAGCGGATATCCAGCCGGAGCTTAAAGCAAAGCCGCTTGCCCTTAACTTTTGCGACAGCGGAGCACGCGCCTCATTTTTTTTTCAGAACCCCCGATACTCCCTCACGTTGGACAGCGCCTACCGCGTGACACCCCGTTCACCGCAGTCACTCGAGAAGGAGCGGGCCATTGCCTCTTTGGTAGTTTTAGATGGCTACGACAGTGCGGTGCAGCGCTTTACCACGCCGCAGCTGCGTCGCTGGTTTCCCAGTGCCACGTACCATCTGCAGTGGGCTGCGGGGCCAGGTGTGGAGTACGTCAACGAGGGAAGACCTTGGACAGTATTCGGCAAGGTGAAAACAGAGTGGTGGATGGAATGGCCTGTTTTTAAACGCGCTCTTGTTTCCGTCCGTAATCAGTCTGCACTCGTGCGGCCACTCGCTTTACAGTGCTCGGAGGAACTCGTCCTGGTAAACGACGGTGGCCATGCTGGTGCCGCCTCGCCCCACCTCAGCAGTGGCTCTGCACACAGTCTGTTTTGGGCGACGCAAGGGCCGAGGTGGGACGCGAATCTTGTGCGTGGCTTCAAGGACGACTACGCTTCGATGCACTACGTCTCACGCTGGTACACACTCGTCTCTGCAGAGCTGGCGTCTAGTGGGCGTCGACGTGAGAGGGGCTCAACAAGGTGGAAAACTCCCTCGTGGATGCTCTACGCAAATGCCTGCTTTGTGGACTCGTTTACCACACCACCACGGGCGTCTGTTGGGTTTGCCTTTTCTGGAGCCCCGCGCGGCGTCGCCGACGCGTTCAACGTTCTAACCTCGTTCTCCTTTGAATGCAGCTTTAACTGGTGGCTGGACTTCAGTCAGGGGCGACCCGCACTGGTGTCGGGCGTTGCCCCCGGTAAACGAGCGGAGACGTCGGTGCTGCGGCTCTCCCCAGTCGAAACCTTTCGTCATTTTCGCTGTGGTTTGACATGGAAAACGTGAGGGAAATCTACCATTTTCTCAGAGAAAAAAAGAATCTCTCCCCTCCTCCGGCCCATATGCAGCAGCGGCTAGACTGCAGACACACACTGGGAGAAGTGAGATCAACGTATGCCACGATGTGAATTAGTCAACCAGCAGAGAAGCGTCAAGAAGCGAGATCACGGGAGAAGCGTGAGGCCTTAACAAATAAAGGGGCTGCTTTTTTGCTCCCAACTTCGGGGGATTTTGCGTCGGTGATTCAATGGGCGCAGCATTTTACCTCCACGGCGGCAGTTTGACCCTCCCGCCGCATCTTTACAAGTGAATTTCCAACGGGGGAACGTAGGAGACTTGGGAAAAGTAGATTTCGGCGTTTCTGTTGGTCCGTTTTACTCTCTTTTTCCCTCGTGTAAAAGTAATGCGGCTGCGCCTGCTGAGACAACGCCCGGACGATGCTATCAGCTATGAGATTAATAACAGCAGCAGCCGAGGTTGAACTGCAGCCTCTGCAGCAGAGATAGTCCTTGTTTAACTTCTATCGCACGTTTGTTTGTGCCGTTTGGCGCCACCTTACGCTCTTTTGTGGTATATTCAACTGCCCCTCACGAGTGCGTGTTGACCCTCTCCCCACTCCACAAAACGCGCAAATATATATTATGTTTTCCTGTTTTTCTGTTTTTTTTTTTTTGCGCGCGCAGTTTTAAAATTTCTTTTGGATGGGGCCGTTCTGTCCTTATGTTTCTTGTTGTTTACTCCCCTCCATGTTGTTTTCTGTGCTTCAGAGTCGTTATGAACGTGGACGTTATAGATGCGACGGCGGAGGCACTTCCGCTGGAGCTGCTGAACGCAACAAACAAGGAGCTGACGGCGCAGCTGTCGCGCCACGAGCAGCTGTGCGATGATAAGGTACGTGAGATAGAAGACCTGCGGCGGCGGCTACAGTTCATGAAGGAGCATCTCAGCAACGTGCGCGGGGAGGTCGTGAACACCCAGAGCCTGGTGGAGTGCAAGCGGCGTGAGGTGGAGTCGGGGACGCACATGTACCGCCTTCTCGACCGCGAGTGCG